CCACCCCACCCCAGGCTACAATTTTTAAAATCTGATGACTATCACAGCAGACCCTCACACGTGACTTTAACCACTCCCAGATGATACGTTAAACCAAGATTACAGTCTCCAATTATCTTCGAGAACGGGAAGCAACAGTAACAGTACTAGAGGAAGAGACAAATTATGTCTCCTCCCAAGTTATAAGATGTACATACTTGTTTAATAGTTTTAAAATTTTTTTCCAACTAGTCTCAAAATACTGCCTTAGGTGATTGACTTAACAAGATAAAACGATCTCTATAAAATCCTCTAGCTTTATTTCAAATTTTTACTAATTCTTCTTACCCTTCATATCAGGGAAACTTCATTTATTTAAAACAATTCAAATATGGCACTCACTGTGGTATCCAATAATATCCTGGGACTGTTCAAGGAATACTAAATTGCTAATATCTGGTATATTCGACAGTTTTAAATAAGGTGGTTAGGTCCTTAAATGGTTGAGAGCCAATTAAGGATTATTATTATTTTTTTTTTACATTTTAAATATATGCCAAGTGTGTATGTCAATAAAGCAGTTAAAAAAGAAATTATAGTGCTTGGTTCATGACATAGTGTGTTGAGGAGTTTCAAAGTGAAGAAATGACAGGTCAGTGCCCATCTAGGGACTGGAACTTCTCCCTTGGTTTGCGGTGCTGGTGAGGCCAAGGCCCACCATTCCATCCTCACAGGACATTCCGCCTCCCACAAGACTTCCCATCTGTGTGCTGAACTTTTCGTCAGTCGATGGTAAGTAGGTGCCACTGGCCCAAAGACGACTGAGAGAGAAAGTGAACCCACAGGCCAGAGAGACCCCTTCTGCCCCCACCCTGGGTGCACCCTCTTTTGGGAAATCCCAAAGCCTATATCCTTCCATGAGCTTCTGACAGCAGCATCATCAGGGATGGACCATGGATCAACTCACGGACCTGTAGAACACCTGGTCCCTCCCACATCATTAGACTTTTCCCAAAGTGCCTTGAATTATCTTTCAGATGCTTGCCCCATCTTGGGAAGGAACTGTTTTTCTAAAGACTCTAAGAAATACTGTTCTCTAAGAAGCTTTGGACAGCCCCCCAAAACACATCAGTTTTACAAGGTGAGAAAGACTTGGGTCCCAAGAAAGACAACAATTTGTCCAACGTTACCATTATGCTCATGCTTAACTTAAGAGACAGGCACTGGGACAGATGCCCATTCTAAGGTACACTGACTAGATTCATGTCCTCATATAAAACAAAAACTAACTGAACTCGGACCAAATGCAAACTATACTAAAGAAACACCTGCTGTGGTATCAGCCTTTTCACTGTACTGCTTCTGAGCCTCTGCCGCACCTTCAGCTGTGCAGGTAAATGCACCTTACTGAAACTGTTCAGTCTTTACCAATGTCACACCCACAAAATAAGAAACTGCTGGGACTCACCTCATTCATTTATGGAGCACCTGCCCATAGTACATGCCAACGCTAACACAGCAGGTCCTCAACAAATGGTTGCTTATGGGAACAAAACCGTAGTCAATCTGACAGCCAGCATTTTCTCTATGGTACATCTTACAGCACTATTAACAAATGAAATGAAGATTCGAGGATTCAGACAAATTTGCATTGGTACAAGTCTAAAGGACGCATTTGGTTTCTCCGAGCAAAGGCTTCCTCTAGAGAAAATTTCTCAAGCTCTTCAAACTGAAATCTTACGGAGCGGGGGGTGGTAAGGAGGTGAAACCAAAAAACTTTCCATTTGCAAGGTGATTAATAGAAGTTAAATTCATTGATCTGGACAAAAATCAGAGGATTACCAACAAGGGACATTTCCTCATGCTTGGTAGCAGCTAGTACATTTTAAAAAAATTACAACACACTAGCCAAACAAGCTTAGTTACTATCTCAGAAGCAGACACACCAGGCAGCTAAAGCTGACACAAGCAAGTTGATCAAGAACCACGGCGGCAGGATTTCACACGAATGTAAAACTCAAACAAATCGGTAGGAACCAGCATTACACTCCCAGGGGACAATAAAACCTCAGTGTATAAGGAGACAAGTCGAGGAATGTGGATCTTTTCCAACACCCCTGTATCTAAACCAGGGAGGAGAAGTATGAGGGAAAGAGAAGGGGTTAATTCCTCAATCACATAAAGGATTTGCTACAAGTTTTGTTTCTGCTCGGCTGGGTCCTTTCTTGTCTGACAGAGGAAACAGGTCCGCTGTTCCAAGCTAGGTTTTGGCTTGTCCAAGTCTCACCTAGGAGGATGGTACCTCTTAACACCCTTTCTGGACACATCCGCCTGGTTAAAACACGCCAAACCAGCTGCGTAGAAGAAAAGGCAATTGCCACTTGCTCCTTCTACAACTACGCAAACCAGCCAGGACCTAATCATGTTAGGAGTGGAAAAGACCAAGGAGAGCCCCAGAGAGAAACTATAACCAGTCAACAGAGATTCAGAGAAGACCTACCTGGAAACAATTCATCATCCAAGGAAGAACCTAAGGAGGGGTCTGGTGCAAATGTACAGCTGATCAGGTGAAAAGACAGTCTCCTCATCCCCAAGCCTTCTCCCTCCCGTGGGAAGGGAGACTGGGAGGGGCAGGGCTGACCTGGGCAGGCTTTTATAAGGGGTGGGGTTACGGATTCTCATCCCAGCCTTTGCATCCTGCCCTTTGGCTTGGTTTGCATAAATGAACTTGCATAAATGAACGTGGGCTTGTTTATATTAGTGGCTGCTTCCAAGAGCCTATCATCTTCATTATTCTTTAAGCCACACTGGAAGGTGACATAATAACGAGAAAGATGTTAATAATAACAGCGAGCCCTCACTGAATGCTTGCGATGTACTAGGCCCTGTAGTACAGGAGCTCATGTAATGCAACAGCCTAATGAGGAAGGAAACCATGGTCATCCCCTTTTTCTAGGTGAGGAAAGTAAGACAGCAACTTGTTCAAGGACAAAAAGCTGGTACATGTTCAAACCAGAACTTGCACTTGCTCAAGACACAGTGTCCAACTAGGAACAGAAAACTCCCTACTTAGGAATTATCGGCTCCTCACTTCACCTGGGTGACCATCCTAACTTTGGTGCCGCTTCAGGGACTCCACACGAGGTGTCAACTCTGCAGACACAGTACTGATGTCTTCCCTGCAGCCTGAGTTTTGCTGGAACCTGGTTGTGCCATACTGCCCAGGTGTGCCAAGAAGCCCCAGCCGTGGCGGGGCGGCGGGGGGGGAGGGGGGGAGTAGATGCTGGCTTCCTTTTGGGAGCTTTGAGCTCTCAAGTTCCCAGGCTATTTCGCTACAGAGGGGCGTCATTGCACCCAGGCAGGAAAGGAACACCACCAAGAGCTAGGACTGTGCCTCACTGGCCCGGCAGCCTGAGGCCACACAGCAGGCAGGAGGGAGGATCAGAGCTGCTCCGGCTTCCCGGTGGCCCTCACAAACTGGTCTTAGGAAAACCGGGAAGCAAGGCATCACCCTTTCGTTGCACCAAGCCAACGTTAATGCCACTCGACAGGAAGGAGCAGGAGACCTGTCTCTGCGCGGAGAAGGAAGGAAAGGAGAGGAAACGGAACTCCTCCAGGAGCCACCCACTACATCTAACTAGTCCTACGCCAGTACCTTTGCAGCTCTCACTCCGGGAAGCCCCAGCATTTGCTCGGCTGGCGGTGCTGAGAACTGAAGCCAGCGCCAGTGGGTCCTGACTGCACCCCTGAGCGAACACATGGCTCCTGAATGCTCCTTTGCCCTGTGTGCTAATCTTGCAGGAGAATGTGGGACAGAAGATTTAAAAAGCTGTGCGATGGGGGAAGGGTAGCCAGATCACCTTACCCCAGGGCTTCTCAATCTTGCCTTCTCAGATTCCCTTCAGGGGTCTGTATGAGAGCTTCAAGGGAGGTTTTCCCCAAACTGGCATTAAATGAACACGTGTTCAGCCGGGGGCGGGGGTGGGGGGGGTGGGGGGGGTGGCGCCCTTTGATGGAGGGGAAGGGGACCCCAGAGAGTGAAGGCAAAGCACACACACTCTCACACCGCGCAGGAGGGCCATTGCCTTATTGCAGGGGGGCAAGCTGAGCTTCCCAAAGCTCTGACAAGTGGGGGTGCCAGCAGGGTACACCCTGGGAACCCAAGGGCTGGAAGCTGTTCCTGCAAACACTGAAAAGGAAAGGAGAGCAGCAATGGGAGAAAACCAAGTTAAAGTGAGCACCGCATCATGGACCCAGCCCCACCAGAGCCCGAAGACGTCCCCTTGCTGCGACCACGCTCACCAGACCACGCTCACCAGCCTCGGAGAGGTCTGCAGCAGATCAGGCAAGATAACCCTGGAGACCTCCTCCACGCCTAAAGACGGCCCCGCCCTCAGGGCCTCCAAATGTTACCGCCAAATAACCTTGTCCCTCTTTCACAGGTGGAGAAATTGAGGCATCCAAAGCAATGTACCGTGCTTCCCAAACCAGGTAGAAGTTTACTTCTCCAACCACAATTCTGCACTTCTTTCCAGCTTTATTACATTTCAAAATTTCTCCAGATACACCGACTGCCTTTGCAAAAGTGAATTTTAAATATAGTTTAAGGAGTGAAGTCAAAATGAGACGAGGGCGGTCAGGGAGACCCGTAGGGCTTTATCTACCGCAAAGGCGGGATGGGTTTCCCCCCCATCCCCAGCTTATCCCCCCCCAACCCCTCCCCTGAGGACGCTTCCACCGCAGCCCGAGGGCGGAGGCAAGGCGGAGCGCCCTGGCACCGGCGGGCGGGCTCCCGGGTCCCGGGGCTGGGAGGGGGTGCGGGGGATCGGGCCCCTCCCCCGGCCGCCCCGGGGGTGCTGCGGCCCGCCCGCCGGGCGCGGGGCCCGGGAACTTCTGGCCGCGCCGCGCGGACCCCGGCGCCCCCCGCCCCCACCCCGGCGCCCGGCGGGTGGGCGGCCCGGGCTTCCCTTTCTTCGCCTCGCCGCGCCTCCGGCGCGACCCCCGAGGCGGCGACGGCCGCCACTCACCATATTACAGATGGAGGCGATGTTTCGGACAGTCATTAGTCTAAAGGTTGCAGCGATCCCGCACCGCCATCTTTATAAGGTGAAAACAGGACTGTCCATGGTGGAGCGCTCGCGGGGAGGCCGGGCGGCGGCGGGGCGGCGGGGCGGCGGCGGGGAGGCGGCCTGGGGTCCGGCTGGCAGTTCGGCTGGCAGAGGGAGGCCGGGAGGGAGGAGGAGGAGGTGGAGGAGCAGGAGGAGGTGGAGGAGGAGGAGGTGGAGGAGGCGGGGAGGGCGGGGAAGGCGGGGAGGCGGGAGGGAGAGCGGAGGGGCGGGGAGTGGCGGAGCGAGGGAGCCTGGGCCGCGGCCGGCGGCGCGGGGAGGAGGGGCGGCCCGAGCGCGCCGCGTGCAGCCCGCGCTCCGAGTGCTCCCGCCGCGCGCCAGGCCCCCGCCCCGCCCCCGGCCCCCGCCCCGCCCCCGGCCCCCGCCCCGCCCCCGCCGCTCCTCCGCCAGCGCCCCGGGTCCCCCTTCCCCCGCCCCGGTCCCCCGCCCCGGCCTCTCTCGTCGCCTATTTCCTGCTTCACCCTCTGAGGGCCAGAGCGCCGGGCCAGGCCCTCGCTCGCGTGGCTGCAGCAGCCGCGCCTCGCGCGTCCCCGAGACCGTCCCCGACGCGGGGGTGCCCGCCGCCAGGAGCCCGCGGGGAGCCGGGGAAGGCGGGCGCCGCGGAGAGGGCCGGCGGGGCCCCGAGGCCGTTTCCCGTCTAAGCTTTTTCCTTCCTGCCGCTCGTCCGCCGGCAGCCCCGGTTTTTCATTTGGGGCGAGTGAAGACGGCAGAGAGCAGGGATGACTACGTCCAACTTTTAGTTTCTCCCCGCGGTTCCAGCCAGATGGCACCGGCGGGGACCCAGGGAGTAAATGGGGTCAGGACGCGGGGTTGTCGGAGGGCCCTGGCCAGCCGCGGGGCGCCTGCCTGGTAGAGGGCGCCGGGAGGAGAGAGGAATCTGGGTCTGGGCGGAGGCCAGCCGCGGCGCGCTCGGGCAGTTTGTGGCAGTAGCAGGTACAAAAGAGAAGTCTGAATCCTGGAGGAGGATCAGAGACCGTCCAAGCAGCGACTGGAACCCGGATACACCGAGAACCAAACTTTTCCGCATCAAAAAAAGCAGACCTTTAGGTTTTGAGAAGGTTTTGCTACATCGGTGTAGACGCATTTCCCGCATGAAAGGTCGTGGCTTCTGGCTCAAAGCACCAATCTACACCGTTCAGCCGATTTGTTCAGGTGAAGTGGGGGAGCCCATTCCCGAACGTGAAACAATTCTACAAAGTTGCAGTTCAGGGCTTTCAACAGAGCTTGTACAAGTGGAACCCGTGATAATTCGTAAACCGATAGATACATTTAATGACAAATTGAATGAGAAGAGAAACTAATTGAAGGTAGTTTTTTCCTAACCAAGGCTGACATACTGGGAAAACATCATGCTTCCTATCCTCCCTTATGTATGAAGTGTTGATTTGTGTCAGGTAAGTGAGCCATTGATTGTTGATATCTCCAGAACATGGGTGTAAAGAAAAGACAACTGCTGAGTGACAGTCCCTGGGGTCATGGTGGCTCTGTATATTTCAATGGATTGAAGGAATAATACTCCTGCTTATGTTAAGTCATTCAGCCAACACCTTCATTCCAAAAACTTATGATGGATAATAGTTAACTATGATTTTCTTACCACTATCAGTCTTGATGTTCTTTACATTCATGACCTCCCATTGCCATGATCACATTAATGATTAATACTGTCTTTGGCAGATGGATAAAAGAAGGCTTCCAGGGTCAGGTGTCTTACCTCCCTGGGGTCACCCACATGTTACAAATGAAGTGAGTCTGCTAAGTTGGCCGAGCACCATGGGTGAGTACAGGGCAGCAAGACACCCAATATAGCGTCTGTCCAATAAGAGGCCTCGAGAGGTTTTCAGACTTGAACAAAGTCACAAAACAAGTTCAGGAGCAAACCTGAGTCTAAAACTCAGGCTTCGGGCCTCAGATTCACAGACATTCCTTTCTAAAGGCATTAATCCAAAGCCTTCAATGATACGGAAATTTTGTACCATAATTGAGTTCCGTATTTCTGCCAATGTTGGCACAGTGGCTTGCAAAGTCTAGAAGATTGAAAACACCGCTGACACAATGAAAATTGGACATCACCTGATTACTGATTACATCAGCACATACAAAGGGTATTTTGCATACCTTCTAACAGCCTATAGCCTAAAACCGAAGTGTTCAATATAGACTAACACCCAGATTGAAACTCAGGCAGTGACTTACACACACAACAAATCAATGAACACAGGTCTTGTCAGGCTCGTGAATAATTAAATACATTTTTACACTACTACAAGGTTAGTATTCACAGGTCCAAATTGGAAAAAGCATCAGCTGAAGACGAAGAAGCCTAACCCTAGCTTCATTCAGCGAGGAAACGTTTGGAGGAAATAAGAGGCAAAGTCATAAAAATGTTGACACGTTAATGAGAGAACAGGGAGGAAACGTATTTCACACGCATGGGCCAGCTAGTAGAAAGGTATAGAGTCAAAACTGAGAAAAGCAGGCAAATGGAAGGTTGGGATACAGGCTAGCACTGAACAGCCTAAAGAAATTTGAGGGAGGCAGTCACAGGTGCCTTTTTCACACATGCCCCTCGCCGCATGAAGCGCAGTTCGAGAACCGGCAGCATTGACCTCACCGGGGACGCTGTTAGAAGTGGGGCCTCTAAGGTCCCAGCCCAAACCTATTAGATGAGATTCTGCGCATGACGTGTGAGGAACACCGGTCCAGCCAATCAATCGTGACGGCATTCTCAGTTTTTGCTTGCCTGGTTCCCAGATTCTACTTTGGGCAGCTGTCCCTTTTTCAAAACCTATGGTTCAGGTATGGCCGACCCTGCCCTCTGCTTCCAGGGGAAGGCACGTGATCCAGGCCTGGCCAATGGGAGGGCCTCTCATGGTCCAGCCACAGTGATTGACTCAACCAGGAGAACGTAGTATAAGCTGAGCTAACCCGGGTGCACACGGGGCCTTTAGAGAAACAAGCACTCCACTTCCTGAGTTTGCCAAAGTGGTAGGATAAAATCCAGAGCTTCCATATTTCCACCGCCTAAGATCCAAACCAACATAGAAAAATGGAACTGAGGAATGGAAGAGCGACCCTAACATCATTCATCTCCCCGCTGCCAGGTCTATACTCCGGACTCTTCCGCAGCTCAAGCCAGTGAAGTCCTTGTTTTCTTTGGTCAGTTCCATCTGAGTGTCTGCTGGCAATTGGAAGAATCCTCATAACCAGTGTCTTCCTCTCCCCTAAATTAATTAGTTTCAGTCTGAGTTCATGTTCCTCTTTCCTATCCTCTCTACAAACTAAACCAATATTTCAAGGTCTTCCTTCAGATCTGCCTCCTCCATGAGGTCTTCCAGATTCCTTCCCTCCACTCACCACCACTACCAATGAACCGCTATATCCAGGTGGTTCCACACTCTCCCCTCCCGTTCCTACCAGTTTTGTGTCTTTCCCTCTCCCACTACTCCTCTTTGCTTGGTTGACACTACTCAGCCTTCAGACAAACTGAGATGCCCTTGTTAGATGTTCTTAAAGCATCACCCATACTACCTTTGTGGACCTTGTAAATATGTCTATGCCGTATCTTGTACAGTATGGAGGCTGGATCCAGACTGCCTGGACCAGCTGTATGACCTTGGGCAAGTTTCTTAACCTCTCTGTGCTGCAGTTTCTGTCTCTATGAAATGACAATAGTAAGAGTTCAATAGAATGTGACTGCATTAATTTATTTAAGGACTAAAAATATGCCTGGCACATACTAGTCACTAGATAGAATAGCGGCTATTATTATGCCCGTGATTATTTGATTAACATCTGATTCTCAGCCCTTATCAGACATGAGACTGAGAGCCAGCCCTATTTTTACTCGCCATTTTACACTTAAAGGAAGACCACTGCCTTTTCCATAGGAGGAGGCAAGAGAGCGAACGTTAACTTTTTGGACAATTTTGCCTCTCTCCAAGTGGCCTGGAAGCCTCTGGAGAGAAAGAAGCTTGTCTCGGGCATTTGTGAAAAATCTCACCAGGTCTCAGGCACTGTGCCTGGCACATTCTTTCCTTTCTTTTTTCCCTCATCACCAAATAGGTTATTGCAGCTCATTTGATATGCAAATGCTAATAAACATTTGGCCATCCCTGGGGAAAATATCTTGCGGGCTGTCGAGTTTGCAACCAAAGCGGTTTCTGTGGATGATACTTCAATTCTGTAAGGAACTTTATGGCAGCTTTTTCCTTTTCATCATGCATCAGACACCTGTTTACGAAACACATACCTTGTGCCTAAAGCTGTGTGAGCCACTGGTGATCCTAGGATAAAAGAAGGCAGCCCCGGTTTTATACTGGTTGATTTCTACTGCAGGATTCATTAACATTGTTCCTGGCTATCTTTGCTACATTTTCCATGCAATAAGGATAACATATAGCTAAGCTAACTTTGGGAGTGAACATCAAATTAGAGTTCCTGTTAGAGGGACTCTACCTCGAAGGTCATGAGTGTATTCATGGGTGGTTAAGAGTCTCTAAGCCTTTGGAACAACTGGCTTATTTTGAAGTGGCAACTGAAATGCCATGGAGAGATTTTGAAGCTAGGTTGGAACATGATTAGATTCTTATTTGCTTAGACATTTTGATTAACTGAAAAAAAGCTGGCTACCAGCCAGGGAAAAAAGGTTGAAGGAGCAAAAGCACTCTTTGTGAGGCCAGTTAGAAATCTGGGGCAAGAGAGTCCCAGAGCTGTCAGTAGCCTGGGTTTACTTTAGGAGCAGCAGTGGGGAAACAGAAGTGGACGCACTGAAGACTCTTTTTGGAGACAGTGGGCTGAAGTGGTTGACAAGGATGAGACAAAGATGAGTCCCAGGTTTCCAACTGGAATGAAAAAGAATATCTTTGGGGGGAGGGGAGCGAGGGGCAGAGGGAGAGGAAGAGAATCTTAAGCAGGCTCCATACGCAGCGCAGAGCCCCAGGTGGGGCTCGATCTCACAACCCTGAGATCATGACCTGA